GAATATATAAATTATACTTAAAAAATTTATAAATAAATATTTTTAAACATATAAATTATATTTTAGATTAATAATAAATAATTTAAATTGTAGAACATCATTATAGATAAGAAGTTAAAAAAAATTAAAGATCTTCTCATAAAAAAAGTACTTAAAAATATATTTAGTAAAAATAGAGATTTGTGTTTAATATATAAGGGTTGATTTGTTTTAAAAAAAATATTTAAAAAAATAAAAAATGTTTTTTTATTGATAGTCAAAATATATTTTTTTAATTATAAGAATTGTAATGATGACAATGAAACTCAAACTTAAAATCCTGTATTATATCATTTAAACTTATTTTAAAAATCCTAAACTTAAAAATTAATGCACTTATTTTAAAAATATCTCTGTATTTGATAACAATTTGAGTGTTTGAAAAATGATGTGTGCTATACCATGCTTAAGGAAGAATTTATCCTAAATAAGAAATGAAAGTAACTAAAAAGAGCTCTTCATTAAAAGCTTTGCACAATGCTCATTAATTATTGAAGTCATAGGTCCAAGTCATACACTCAAATAGGAGTTGAGCGATCATCTCCAAAATGTACGTATGAATGAGTAATTAACCACCTAATTCACTATTTACTACAGTTAACTACAAGCTCCCTTTTATCTTTTTCCAAACCACACATAGCATGTCTCAATTATCAAAGGGCACTAGTAATCAATTTATTATTTCATCATGTTAATTAATTAGTTAGGAGGGGGTGGAATGATTCCATGCAGAGTCAAAGGAACCAAATCTAGACAAATAAAATCATTAGCACTGTTGGGGAAACAAGAAACTTTGTGACCCATGGGCAAAATACATAAAATTAGGGTTTGTTTGATTCTCTTATATATCATTTCTTTTTGTTTTAAAAATTGTTTTATAAAATAGTTCTATGCCATTTAACAGTCAATTTTTTTCATTCAAAATCATTTTCATAACACGTTTTAAATATGAAAATGAAATTTAAAAAACAACTGAGAGACGTTTTCCCATCATTACCATCTTCTTCTTTTGGTTCAAGTGCTTCAAAAAGACAAACTTTTAGCAAATAGAAATGTATTTAAAGATCAAACACTTCTAAATGTGTTTAAGAAACAAACAAAATGTTATATATATAAAATCTATTATTAAAAACAACAAACAAACAAACAAAGCCTTATATTTATCTTTTTCTCCACACCCACATACACACATATTTATTCACACACTGATTCAGTGGTTAGGACTAATTAGTAGATAAGAATGATCACACGCTAATTATTAATTAACAAAGAACTTAAAGTGGCCCCTAGGCCCCATTGAGTTTAGGGCACACATATATGAATGTTAATTGAAGTTAAATAAAGACAACGAAAACACCACCATACTTGAAAGGAATCTTGGGATGCTTTCTTTATTATTTATTCAATAGTATTGTATTTCTTAACGAGTTGTGATCTTAAAGAAATAAAAACAAGGTTATATATGAAGAAGCAGACACTATGGTCTTATATATTTCTGGTGATGTATAATTTTTCATAGGGAAGTAGACGTACGATCCACCAATTCCATGATAGGGAATCTTAAAAATGATACACCAACGAACAATTTCATTATTTTTTGTGTGCATATTTACCTAAAATTTCTTCTCTATTTAATGGGATGTTTCCTCCATAACCACTACTCCACTAGCAAACAACAGTACCCTTACCTACTATACATAGGACGTAAATTTTTGTAAAAGAAACTGATCAAGCTCTATTCAAAAAAAGTACGAGTAAGATATCTTTATATATTATTTATCTTTTTAGGGACACAAAACTTAAAGTGTATTATATACGGTTGAAAAAATATATATATACTTATTGCGTGAGGAATGTTAATGGCATTAATTATTTTTAACATTTTGTTTCAAAATTATTTATTATTGACTAGAATTTATTTGAAATCATAAATTTTTTAAATTTGTGTCTTATTTAATGAGTCTATATTAGTATAGAGATAGAATTGATTAAAATTATTGATTTTCAAGTAATAGTAAAGAAAATATTTGCAAAAGAGAGAGTTGATAATATCTTTCTTTATCTTATATTTTAAGAAAGTGGGTTATGAGTTTATATATTTAGCTTTTTAAGATTTCATATTGACTAATAATATGAACAATATAATGTATATAAGTAAAAAATAATTTAAATTTAACCGATTTTATAAGATTGGGTTAAACTCTTAATTTACTTTTTTAAAATCATATATATTATAGAATGTTCCATTGTTACGAATTTTGATAGGTTGTTAATCAGAAGGAACCCAAGAGCTAACTCTTATAAATGTTTTTTAAGAAAAAATTTAGAAGTAATGATCAGTCTAATTCAAAACAGATATAGAATCATTAGAATCGATTTAGTGATAAGAGATTGAACAATATAGCAAATTAGATTTAAATGTCTACTAAGACGTGTTTACATTTAATATATATTATTAATATAAAATAGTGTATTTTAGAGAACTTACCAAAAAGAGTTGTAGCTTGTGTTTGAAAAAGAGAAAAAAAAATGTAGAGAAATAAAGGAAAGAAAAGTGTGAAAAAGTGTAAGAAAATAGATTGAAAATAAATGTTGTTTGATAAAAGAAAAAAAAGGAAAAAATATAATGGAAGTTTATTTTTTTATAGATAATTTCTTTTAAAAATTATGAATATATAACACCGTATTTATCATTTTCAGATATCACCCATATATCATTCGACTTTAAAATAATAATAAAATATTACTTGATTTTAATTTTTTTAAAAAATTTTTACAATATTTCATTATAAATTATTGACAAGTGTAAAGATATTTCGAATAAATGCATTCGGATGACAGAGCATATAGAAATTCAACCACATGTATTTATCATTGCTAGTTATTATCACCTGTCCCAAAATTAATTTCACGTATTGACAATGCATCAATGTGATATTAAATAGGGACATCAACGATAATCAGTCAAACTTCAAAACTTGTCATAAGAAAATCAACGGTTCGATTTGTTCAACAAAAAAGTAATGACAATCAATTAATTTATTAGGTGATTTTGCTATTTAAATCAACAATTTAATTAAGAATGCGACTCAACGATGAATGATGGATGATATAGGTCGACATTATGGAGCGTTAAACTTCATATTTTATTGTCAATTTGCGTGCTCAACCACATTTAAATTTATCAAGTTAAAATTAACTTTTTTTTTTTTGTTCGTCACTGGAATCTCGCTACGTTGAAAGCACCTCAAAGGTGAGGTAACTGGTTTCAAGATTTAACGCGATTACATACACAAGGCAGGATTTGAACTCCTGACCTTACTTAAGCGTGGATCAATTCCTACCGCTGAACCACACGCCCGGGATCTCTTTTTGCATAAGAAATCTCTTTTTGCATCTTTTTTCAAAAACTATACACTCCGTGATTTTGGTTATTTTTCTAAATACTCCTATACACGTGTTCGAATATTTCAGAAATTAAATTTTGAAATGTGCAATTTTTTTATATAGAAATTTTATGATTTAATTCCTAGAAGCATATAAGAACAATTCTGGAATCTAAATTTTATTAGTCTTCTTACATCTTAAAATTAAATTTTGAGTAACCAAAAAAGATTTTTCTTTTCCATATTTGTAGAAACTTACTTTCAAAAGCGTAAAAAATTTCAACACTTCCAAAACTAAATTCGAGAAGCATGCAAAATTTTAATTCTTTCAAAAAATAAATTACCAAACCTTGTTTTATTTATTTTTTCGGCTTAAATATATTTTTAGTCCCTCAAATTTAGGGTAAATTTATTTTTGGTCCCTCAAATTTAAAATTGATGTTTTTAGTCTCTGTAATTTCAAAAAATCTTATTTTAGTCTTTATATTCAAATTTTGTTAAGAAATTAATCAAATATTATTACATAAAATCTACCTATTAGTGTCCATGTTAGTGAAAATATCACATTAAATTCAATTAATATTGCATAATCGTCTTAATTTGTTACTTTTAGATATGTTTGATCAAAGGGACTAAAATAAGATTTTTGAAAATTATAGGGACTAAAAATAACGATTTTAAATTTGAAAGACCAAAAATAAATTTATCTTAAATTTGAGGGATTCAAAACATATTTAAACCTAATTTTTTCTCGTATCCCACTCGTTCTATCTAGGGATGGAAAAATGGACCGTGCCCCGCGGGCCCGCCAATTTTTGGCAGGCTGGGCCCATCATTTTAGCCCGCCAACCCGCCAAGCCCGCCCCGCCAAGCCCGCCAACCCGGCGAGCCAAATAGCGGGCTGGCCCGTCCCAGCCTACCAACCCACATAGATGATTTAGTGATTGGGCTTTAGTATAAATAATAGGCTTTATATATATAAAAAAAAAAAATCAGGCCCAATAGGTAAAGAGATTAGTAGAGTCCGTTTCAGCCAAATTCCTAAATGCTAAATCAATTCCATTCCAGCCACCGAAGAGCACCTTCGCTTTCTGCTGGGCTTCGTCCAGAACAAGGAGGCATTGCGCGTGCGTGTAGGTGTAAAAATATATATTCTCTTTCTCTTTTGTTGAAGAAGGATTCCAAGTTCCAACTCATTCACTGCTATGAGGAGTGTGACTTTAATGATTCTTTTTTTTTTATAATTTTTTTCTATTTTTTTTATTTGAACATAAAATATATATTTTTTTCCATTTTTTTAAAATTATTTTTTGGGTACGCGGGCTGGCCCGCCGCCCCGCCAACCCATCGTTAGGCGGGGCGAGCCAGCATTTTCAGCCCATTTTTCATTGGCGGGCCAGCCCGACCCGGCCCATTTTTGGCGGGCCATTGGCGGGACGGGCCAAAACAGGGCGGACTGACCCGTTTTGCCACCCATAGTTCTATCTCTTAAATTTCGGAAGTGTTAAAATTTTTAACCTTCCAAAACTTACATTTTTCAACGTCATGGGCCTTATGGCCCAACTAGGTCCATTTAATCCCTTAGGCCTAGAAACTTCTGCAGTTCTGCCTGTCATTTCTGGTCCTTTTTCCATTTGTTTTGCTTGGAATAGTTTTAATTGGGCTTCCGTTATAACAGGCCTTGAGATGGAGTTATTTTGCTAAAGATTGAGATGATACAATTCAAGACAAATGAGAATTGAACACTTTGTGAGAAAAAGAGTTCTTGTCCACTTCAACCTACAATTTCAACAGCATGAACATATAATAGATCATGGATTCAGATTATCATATATACATCCGGTACCAATCTTATTTATTTATTTTGGTATAAACTACACGGATATCCTCTATCATAAACAATCTTATTCGAATCGAGTAAGACTATTACAAATAATTAAGTTCTTTTTCTATGTGAATATTTAATACAACTACCTATAACTTAAATTTGAGAGTTAAGACTATTGATAATGCTGAAACAAATACACACCAGTTGATCCATTCATATACTTAATGGTCCATTACCAATCTTTATATTCAGCAGCAAGGTAGCAGCTTTGTTACATAAACAAGAAGCATATTGACCTTAATTATTTATCATAAAAGTACACACTTTAGTTAAAAGGTTCATCATCAAATATCATTATATCATCATGTGAGTTAATAGTATGGTTAGGGTATGGGATAAATGACCACTTTTCCTGTGGCTCTTGAAGTTTCTAAGTAGGAAATGGCTTCAATGACATTAGAAAATGGTACTGGAGTCTTTGGATCGAGAATTGGCTTCAATTGACCACTCTCAAAGTAAGGTCTCAAGTTGTCTAAGGTAGATCCCTTGGATGTGATGATGAAGAAAATAGCTTGTGGAAGTTGGGCATGTGGTGCTATTGTCACAACTTTCCCACCTTCCTTTATGGCCTTCAGTGCTCTATCAGTTTGCCCTACAAATCAATGTTAATTTTTGGTAAACATGCGATATTTTGTGTATCATGAGAAACAAATTAATGTTCAGTTTTAGTATCATAAGGTACCTAACACTCTCTTTTTAACATTTTTATCATTACATGAAATTTATTAAAAATAACAAATTTTGTAGATCTAGTATCTTATTTAACGAATCATTCTTCTAATAATTTTATGATATGAACAGTCAAAATTATAATTTTCAATCAATAATAAAAAAAAATATTAATAAGAAAATGTTACTATGATCATTTCTTAAAATTAAAAAAATATTCTTTCAATTCTAAAATTAATTTATACATTAGATCAGATGTAGAAAGTCTTCTATATTAAGTTATCTGAAAAATGTTTTTAATTTATATTTATGTATAAGTTAGTTTTAGTTTATAATTTTTAAAAAAATACTTATAATTAAATAAATTTATGCAAAGTAATCTAAAATCAAATGCAGAGATATAGGTTCATAGGTCTGACCTACTGCATCATACACTAGATCATATTTTTGTGGAAGATCTTCAAAGTTTTCCTTTGTGTAATCAATAGGCAAGTCAACTCCCAACTCCCTTAAAAGTTTGAGCTTCCCGGTGCTAGCAGTTGCTGCTATCTTAGATGCTTTATAAACTTGTTTGGCAAGCTGCACCAAACATAGACATAGCAGTAATTACTAGGTTCTCTCCATCATATATATGCCAATAAAAGAGAAAAGAAGAACAAGAAAAGAAAAAAGAAGGTGCATGTGTCCTCTTTCTTGCAGGAAGAGAAAATTTGTCAAAGAAAATTCTATACCTTTTAAGGCACTTAATAAGGATATAGTCATGAAGATATCAAACACATATGATGACCACTGTATAACTTTCCAAAAAATGAGAAGGTGACTCTTAATACAAATTAAAATATATTTTTTTGATATTTAATTTTTTTACACTACTCTTACATCATATGTTTTGCTTTCTCTTTCTAATTATTATCTTACAAGACAGTGTACAATTAAGATACTCACACAACAATTTATATAACAATTTGTACAATTAAGATAGAGAAAGAGAAACTTGAAATATAATAAATAATGTAATAAAGAGTAATATATTCACAAAATAATCTGCACAAATTGTATAAATTATTGTCTGTAGATGTATTAATTGCAACAATCCTTTAGTATATATATGTACCTGAATAACATAGTTTCCAACTCCACCAGCTCCACCCAAAACAAGGATAGATTGGCCAGCAGAAAAGTGAGCATGCTCAAAACCTTCGTTAGCAGTTTGAAGTGCCAAAGGAATGCTAGCAGCTTCAATGAAGCTTAGATTGGATGGTTTATGAGCCAATAGTTTCTCTTCTGCAATAGTATACTCTGACAAAGTGCCAAGAATCTTAATGTTCTCCAACCCTGCCTCGTTGATATCACCATACACTTCATCCCCAACCTTAAATTTCTTTACTTCTCTTCCAACTTTCACTACTATGCCAGCAACATCATAACCTGGCACAGTCTTCTCACACCATAAAAGCAAGAGAATAGAGTTAGATCAAGATTAAGCTTGTTGAAGATAAACTTTTTCAAATATGTTTATATGAAAAAAATTGAAAAATATATAAATTAAAATAAATTTATTTATAAATTAAAACTAGCTTATATATATATACATATATTATCTAATAATAGATATTTATATATATTTTAAATATTTAGTATATTAAAACTAACTGACATAATGAACCATCAAATAAATTTAAAATTATATGTAATTTTGTATATTTGAAGATCTAAGTAGTAATATCATTATGTACAATATACTCATATACACACATTTGTGTGTGCACGTGGATCTAATTATCCTAAGAGTAACTCTGAATAAAGTTATTTTACTGATTAATAATTCATAGTATATATTGAATTTTAACAATTCAATCGTTAAATTGAAATTTTTTAATGTATAGGTGAAGTTTACAAATTATTAAAAAATTTGAAAACCATATAATACTTTGTTATTTATAATTAAATCAACATATAAAATATTTTTATAATTAGTTGTCAATTTAAATTAATTAAATGAAATATCGTATAGTATTCAATTTTCTTAAACAATTTGTAAACTTAATATATATACATATATATATATATATATATATATTAAAAAACAATTTTTTTTTGGATGAACTACTATAGAGACTTTTTACAAGTTAACTTATGTATATGCTATAAAATATTGTGGTAGAGCAATAATGGACTTAAAGAAGAAAGATAAAGTTAATAAGATAGATTGAAAGTGTATGAAAATAATTTTTCAGCAGTATTAGCTTCTTTTATGTTAAATTTAAAGTTTTACTTAAGTAATATTGTAATAGTTTTATATTGGTTTAATATTTAATATAGTGTAAAATATTAAAAATATTTAATGATTTAATACTATTCTAGTCAATGGAATCAATAAACTATGTATTAATATTTCTTTTTTACAATTACAATAATAAAATTTAAATTTAAAATCTTGTATATATTATTTGAATCCCTCACTACACTAAACTAATTATAGTATTTCAATTGGTTTAACCTTGGCCGTGAAATATGGTTCTAATACAACTTATTTGGGTGTTAAAACTTGAAAAGAAAATATAAGAAGGAAGAAGGTTTATATTGTCATTTTCCTATTGAATGGTTAAAATAAGCAAAAGGGCGATGAAGGAAAAATAAATGATAAATAATTGAGGCATCTTCAAGCACCAGTTAATGAATCAAAAATATTTTTCTATTAAAAATTAAGAAACAGTCTTCATAAATTAATTAAGGAAGAGAATAAGTGTATATATATATGTACATACAGGTAGATAAGGGTCGGTGTCCTTGAAGTCTCCATGCATCCTCTTGTAATCAACGGGATTAAGGGATGCAGCAATGACCTTGATGAGGAGTTGGTCGTCTTTGAGTTGGGGTATGAGCCAATTAGGATCTAACCTGAGAATATCATTTGGTCTACCATGTTCAGAGTAGTACCAAGCTTTTGTGTGAGTTGGAACAATAGGATCAGTTCTTGAACCATCTATGGCCATGGGGAATTTATATTTCTCACAGACAATGTAAATACGACTTTGATCGGTTAATACTCATCACGAGAATATTTATAGACTCTAATTTGATGGAAAATCCATGTTTAGTCCCTAAAACAGTTATTTATTCTATTTTATAACGAGTGTCGTGTTTTAAAAATAAATATTATTATTTTTAATATAATATTAATTATTTTTTTTATTTACATTTTTTATAATATCTAACGGTTGAATTTACAAAATTCACATTTATGTAAGATTATTGAGAAATTTTACATTAATGAATTTTGACTTTGCTTGTACTCCTATTGTTATTGAAATAAAGAACTGCAGAATTATTATCACAATAAATTTTCAATGACTTTTCAATGCCATCAATCGCACGCAAATTATTAATAAAATTTTGCAACCATATCCCATGGTTTGATGTCTCAAAACAAGCAATGAAATTTACAACCATGGTTAAGAAGCTATGATAGTCTAATTAACAGACTTCTAAGAGATAGTTCCTCTAGCCATCATAAAGATGTATCCAGATGTGGAGTGTTTGTTGTCTTGACATCTAACAAAATCAGAATTAGAGTACCCAATAATCTCTAAACTGTCAAACTTTTGATAAGTGAGCACATATCCTTTTTTTCTCTTCAAATAGCATATTACATGCTTTACTGCCTTCCAATGTTGCATCCTAGTATTACTTAAGTATATGCTCAAAACCCCCACTACAAATGCTATATCGGGATGAGTACAAACTTGAGTATAAATTAGACTTCAAACAAAGCATAGGGAATCTTTTGCATCTCATTTCTTTCAAGGTCATTATTGGGGTACTGTTTAAGGCTAAATTTGTCTCCCTTAGCTATAGAGGTATCTCTTGGTTTACTATCTTTTATGCTGAATCTATCCAAAACTTTATCAATATAGTTCTCTTGTGATAACCTTAGGATACCATCATGAGAATGATCTCTTAGTATCTTAATACCTAATACAAAGGAAGCTTCACCAAGATCTTTTATTTCAAAATTCTTTGTCAAAAATCTCTTGATTCTATGCAATAAGCCTATATCACTGTTAGCAAGTAATATATCATTGACATACAACACCAAGAATATATATTTATGCCCACTGAACTTATGATAAACATAATCATCAACTATATTTGCCTCAAAACTATATGAGGTAATAACTTGATGGAACTTGTGATATTATTGTTGGGAAGCTTATTTGAGACCATAGATAGATTTCTTTAGTTTGCATATCACAGACTTTGAGTCACCAGACACAAAGTTTTCTAGTTGCATCATATAAATCATTTCTTCAATATCATCATTTAGAAACACAGTCTTAACATCCATATGATAGAGCTCTAAATCATAATGAGCTACTCATGCCATTATTACTAAGTAAGGATGAATAAGTTGTATGGATGATATTGTATGTGTTGATTGCGTTGTGAGTTGGTAGTTGAAAGTTGAGATGAATTGTATAGGTTGTGTAGTTGTTATGTTGAAATAGCTATAAGCATAACAATGTTGTGTTGTTTAGATGATAAATGTCACTACAAGAAAATGACGATTTTGCGACGGTTATATGGCCTACATTGCGACGGTTATAACTTTCGCAAAGACAACATTGCGAAGCTTTGGGAACCGTCGCAGAGTTGTCCGTCACCAGGCAATTTTGCGACGGTTATTAAAACCGTTGCACAAACCGTCGCAAAATTTGAATTGTGACCCTTTCATCAACTGTCGCACGAAATGCCTCGAAATTAATATTACGACCCTTGATGTACTCGTCGCACAAACTGCCTCTACATTAATATTACGACCCTTTTTTTACCTATCGCACGAAATGCCTCTAAATTAATATTACGACCCTTGATATACTCGTCGCACGAACTACCTCTACATTAACATTGCGACCCCTCACTTAACTGTCACACAAATTGTCTCTGATAAATTCCACACACATAGCAGCCGGACAAAAGGGATACCATAGTCTTTAAAGTAACTATCATCTTACCTACCCTAAATTTGTTATGATAATAATTACTAGCTAAACCCACTTCAACTTGATTACATTATTTATATAATAAATGACTTCATGCGTGACATAATCGTAGACGGCGTAAAAATATTTTTAATAAAATGGAGTCACCACTCACGACTAATATTTTACTTTGAAAAAAATGATTGGAAGCTACAATGTTGAGAGGAATTGAGAAACTTGTTTTTAGCAGCTTAACCCAATTAATATTATTTTTTATAATAATAATAATAATAATAATAAATGTTTTAATATATGTATTATAATCTCATTCAATGTAATGAACGTTTTTTCACATTAAAAATTAAATATCTTTTTAATTTATCATTGAAAAAATACAAGATAAATTAAAGTTTAACAAAAATTACACTAGTCAAAACAATTAAATTTAACTCTTGAGGAAAAAAAATCTAATTGTTATAACTAATAATTGTGGAATATTTTTTTTATAAATATCAGTAAAATCAAAAGAAACACTTTAAAATACAAATTAATTACTGAATGTTAAATCGAAATACTTAAAATGACTGCATGCAGAAAAATATCATCATTTTTTCATTCTCAAAAGAAAGCCAAAGACAATGTCCCCACTCACTGTATGCTTCTTTCTGCACGTCACGCATGATGTAAATGTTTCCTTGACGATTTGTCTTCTTCGCATTCAACTTTATTGTTTTCTTTTTATTTTTTTATAGGTTTAATTGAATTATTCATCTCGTACTCAAATAATATTGAGGTGAATAGATCAACTTGTCATTGAATAAATTCTATCAAAATACTATTTATTTATACTATCAAAATACTATTTATGATACGCATGTCATGCATGAGGTGTCTTCTTGACGGTGCGTCTTTTCTGAATTCCAACTTCATAACTTGTTAGAACCCGGTTATTCTTAAAGATAAGATAAACATAGGATAAAATAATAATTATTTTTGTAGGAAATTTCTTTAACAATTATCAAATTATAGACAAAAGAAAAATATTGCATCAGATTATCAAGATTTTTTGAGTTCTAAAATATATATGTATCCATGTTGACGTGGACTAAATGTTGTAAAAGAATAGTCTTTTGGTACAATAATCTTTTTCAGTCAAATTACTAGATTTTTCAGTGAGACCTGATGTTCCTCTTGTGATGGAGAGATAGAGAGACGCATGTTTCTGACATATTGGAGATCATGTCCACCCTTATGATTTTTAACCTGTTAAGATTCTCATTATTCTTTAACAGACCAAATCTGAATTTCACTTATTTGAGCTCATATTAGTTTTACTATTGACAATCTAAAGACTTATTAAAATTAGATAACTTTTATTGAGTCCGACTAAATGTAAATAGTTAATATAAATATTACAAATAGTATATATATATATAACCCACATTAATTATTAGAAACAAAATTCCTAACAATCTTCCACTTGGGCTTCATATTTGTCTAAGCATTTATATCATAAAATTTTTTAGCGCTCAACCGTATGCTATTTACTTTTAGACTCCCCTTAAACAATTTGGTCCATCTCATACAACAATAGGGAGTCACTATAGCTTTCATCATAACCCAATGTGACTAAACCACAATGATCACCACAATTGTATGTACTCAATGACATAGATCAAATATGGATAAGTGACATCGAAATTACATGTAATGTGATCTTAGTCATGTATATTTCCTACTGGTCCAAAAATTATTCTTTATAGAAATTAAATCAAACCACAACATATATATTGCACAAAACAAGCTCAAAATAGAATTATGAACATTAACTTTATTTTTGCAGAAAATTCAAATAATAAAAATATCTAAAAAAAATAAAAAAAATAAAGAAGACATAAAACATAAATGAGACTCCTACTAAATTAAGGTACTATAAGGAATTACACCTATATGAGTAGTGTGCTCATGAAAGACTTTAGACACCAAACCCTTGGTAAGTGGATCAGCTAGCATAAAATTAGTCCTTATATATTTTATAAAAATTTTCTTATTTTGAACTTTTTTTTAATAACCAGAAATTTTACATTAATGAATTTTGACTTTGCTTGTACTCCTATTGTTATTGAAATAAAGAACTGCAGAATTATTATCACAATAAATTTTCAATGACTTTTCAATGCCATCAATCGCACGCAAATTATTAATAAAATTTTGCAACCATATCCCATGGTTTGATGTCTCAAAACAAGCAATGAAATTTACAACCATGGTTAAGAAGCTATGATAGTCTAATTAACAGACTTCTAAGAGATAGTTCCTCTAGCCATCATAAAGATGTATCCAGATGTGGAGTGTTTGTTGTCTTGACATCTAACAAAATCAGAATTAGAGTACCCAATAATCTCTAAACTGTCAAACTTTTGATAAGTGAGCACATATCCTTTTTTTCTCTTCAAATAGCATATTACATGCTTTACTGCCTTCCAATGTTGCATCCTAGTATTACTTAAGTATATGCTCAAAACCCCCACTACAAATGCTATATCGGGATGAGTACAAACTTGAGTATAAATTAGACTTCAAACAAAGCATAGGGAATCTTTTGCATCTCATTTCTTTCAAGGTCATTATTGGGGTACTGTTTAAGGCTAAATTTGTCTCCCTTAGCTATAGAGGTATCTCTTGGTTTACTATCTTTTATGCTGAATCTATCCAAAACTTTATCAATATAGTTCTCTTGTGATAACCTTAGGATACCATCATGAGAATGATCTCTTAGTATCTTAATACCTAATACAAAGGAAGCTTCACCAAGATCTTTTATTTCAAAATTCTTTGTCAAAAATCTCTTGATTCTATGCAATAAGCCTATATCACTGTTAGCAAGTAATATATCATTGACATACAACACCAAGAATATATATTTATGCCCACTGAACTTATGATAAACATAATCATCAACTATATTTGCCTCAAAACTATATGAGGTAATAACTTGATGGAACTTGTGATATTATTGTTGGGAAGCTTATTTGAGACCATAGATAGATTTCTTTAGTTTGCATATCACAGACTTTGAGTCACCAGACACAAAGTTTTCTAGTTGCATCATA